GCTTTTCTAAATCAGCCATTGTTCGTTTGTTAGCTTCATCGCTGGTTATACAAACCATTCTCTCAAGTTTCTCTAAAGCTCTTTCAGTGCGTGCCAACCTCTAGGGCTTTGCGTCTTTCAACGCACTAATGTTGAAATATCGCGATCAATTGAGTTCATCTTTGGTATCTTTGATTCCATAATTCTAACCTCTGTGCTGGGCTCGTGTGTTGCGCATATATCGCACTAGACGCGCTCTAGGTGAATCTTAAATTTGCTAATTCTCTTGAGAAAAAACAACACGATATTTCAAGAAACGTCTAAGGTACAGATTGATCCTATCTGTTATGAACAGATGATCAGCGATTCAAAGGTAGAATATAAGGAAAGTAGACATGACCACAAACCATCCAGAACTTTTGGTTACACAAAAGAGAAACAGTACCACAACAATGGCCCATTTCTTGATACGAGATATCCGTTTGTCTTGGAAAACATTTTAAATCGGACTGGTTTTATCGCTGAAGCCGTGAAAAACCTTGCCGTGCAAATGCTGCGTCGTCGGCCCTTGTCTCTTGACATATTCCCCATTATTCTCCCGAGAGATAATACCTTTTTAACCCAAAATAAATGTACCACAAAGACGCACTCAGATAATGTCATATCACTTCTTACCTGTCCATATATCACAGATACAGCAGTCTTGTCATTTTAGAGCATTTCACATTTTTGTAGAGGACAGAAACACTCAATTTGTTGACACGTGAAAAAAGTCGCTTCAATTGCGCAGGAAGCCACATACCTCACTTGACTGCGTCTTTAATCCTTTTAATCTTCAAGTCTAATACATTCAAATGGATGGCAGTTATACGCATCATTGAATTTCTTCCCCTACTGTCTTGTAATAAACTTTACACTCCCATATGCTCAAATGATTTATACACGTTTTCACATTTTTAACCTCTAACTCTTTTTTTCAGAATGAAAAATACTCCATTTTAAACATATTTAATCAACTTAATCAGTCTTCAAATGTCAATATAGGAGAAGGGTGTACTCAAATGATTTTTTTCGAAGATATTTTCCCAGCAAAATTTGTCAACCACCCGTCGTCGAATTTGTAATGATGTTTACATGTGTTCTATGCAGGCTCGTAATGATCATTGCATTACTGCGCATGTTCACGCGTGCAATAAAATCAGACGGCTCATGTATCTTATTCGTGCCGCTCTGCGTGCTTGTTAGAATACTGCTACTTTTTCATTTGTAATATGAACTTTGTACAGATTTAATGGATGTGCATTTCTTTTAGAAATCTAATTTTTTTATTGCCAACTCTGGAACAATTTCATTCGTATTTATTTTTCTTTGCTGGATAGAATGCCTTTTTTATTTTTTTCACATTGAATTGAAATGAGACAGTGAGTTGAATTTGTCATTTTTCAAAAAAAATATTGCCTCAAGGTTCGGGAAATTGAGATGAGCCTTGAAACCTGTGGCCAGACTGATCCGCTGTGTAAATTAGTCCTCTCTCAGCAAAACAAGAATACTTTAACCGACCAGTTTTCATTCAACATAGGAAGGCCTGCTAGCTCACTTTTTTACAGAACGTTAGATCGCATCGCGAACCTTACCCAGAACCCGAAAACCTGCCGATGTTCCTGATTGTGGTCCTGATCATGACCCTGTCTCAGACATCAAACCCTTGAACCTAATTCCAACCCTAACCAGGGCAGAGGAGCAAAACAAATTGCGCTCTACATTTACATGAGTAAATTTAGCTTGAACCGAGACCTAGTTCCAACCCTAACCAGGGCATGGGAGCAAAACAGATTGCTCTCTACATTTACATGAGTTACTTTGCCTGGCGAGAGAACGGGAGTCAAAGTTACATCGATGAGGGAAATGACTGACAACACAGGTAGTTTTGATATTCGCTTCGCTCGCCTGGAAGAGGGTGGGCACCAATTGGCTTTGACGGCTGACGGTTAACTTTTTCCGACCGTAGGGGTGACGGTAATCAGGAAGACATGTCTTCGATGAGTTTAAGTTAACATTAAGTTTTACCGTCATTTGAAATAAATCGTTTTTTTAGGCCTTTTCACTCCTCTATCGACGTAGTGGAGGAAGGCATACTTCCAAAACCTCTGACAATAATTTATAATTTGTTTCAAACATAAGAATACATTACTTCCTAGTTCCCATTGTTACACGTGCAAACGACACAAGTAGAGTTTCATATATCACTGACTCCTTAAAACTGGATACGTCAAGGCGATTGTCTGCAGTCGTTCCATTTGGCGATCAATAATTCGGAGAGAACACCTTTATATTACGACAGTTCGTTGACGTTTTACTGAACATTAGTGCCTTCTCTGAGCTGTTGTCAGCCATCTTGATGACAAGGCCATAACTGCGAATTCGACCAGATTTCCTTCCTTTTCCGATTACCATATCAACTAGTCCAAAAAGTACTTTAAAACTGCTGACGTAATGATTCCATCTGATATTCATTATCGTGGGTAGATGAAGTTGTCGCATGGTGAATAATGTCCGGCCCGTAATGTACTGACGGTACAAGTAATGTACTGATGGTACAAGTATTTTTTACTGCAGTAAAAGAGCGCGGACGTTTTTTTAAACGCTGTGCCAAGGGGTAGTGAGCTAAATTCGAGGATCAAATTTTTTTGACGCTTTAATTTGTCGTCCAGATCTTGTAACGGAGTGTCTAATTACAGGGAAGTCCTTGAACTCTTCGTCTTCATTTGCCATGAATTCTCTTTCCGAGCCGCTCTCGTACTCATCAACCTGTGTTGGTTCAGGCCCAACGCTGGTATGGAATTGTGGTACACTTGTGTCGCTAACAAAGGATTCTTTTAAACTTGGACAAAAAATCTCTTGCGGCCATGGAATTAAGAGACTCATAGTCTCTCTCACAGTCGTTATGTCAAAGAACCTTTCCACAGATTGCCGCTAGAGGTTTGGGTCGTGCACCTGTTTTGTCCATTGTGATCTCTGTTCTGACACTCCTCTGTCTCACTGGTCTGCAGTACCCAGTAGTACCCAGTACCCTATCCACTCTTTCACGACAACTCTCCTCTCTTTGGAAATTATCTCAGAAGGCAGAAGTTTCTTAAAATTGACAGACTGGAAATGCATAATAGACTGGGTTTTTAAATTGACCGCATGATAGATTTCACAAGATCACTGAATATCAATTGTTTTTTGAGAGGGATTAGGACTACTACATGTGTATATCGGCATCGTGACTTGTGAGAATGAACAATCAAACAATCTTAGACGGCTGACGGTTAAACCCCATTGAGACCCTCCAGTAGACCAGTAGATCTCAAATACACGGTCCCCGTAGCTAGTTCGACAAAATGAGGCCCTTCACGTTGTCGTGAATTGCTGCTTCCGGACGAAAAGGAATCCATGATAGTAAAAACGCTCAAATACTGACGACACAGTTTTCAGACCTGCATTGCTTTCCTAGAACTTGACCAGCGGACCTAACCTGCATACTGGCCGCTAGTCTTGTTTTTAGAGAGATTAAAGATAGCAAGCATGACGAAACCCCACTCCTTCCCCTCCACCCCAAAAACCATTTTCCTTTCATCTTACTGTCACTACTGCTACCTTTCTTGAGCTTTAAAAGTTTGTATGGAACCCTGGAGGTTGTTTAGAGGCACTGGATAAGAGGTGAGGCCAACTGATCTTCGAGAGGGTGGCTAATTAATTGTTGATTACAATCGTACCAAAGTATCAGATCAGTGTTAATCAGATCAGTGTTAATCAGATCAGTGTTAGTTACCCGTATCAGATCAGTGTTAATCAGTTGTTTTAGGCTCGTTCAGACGCGTGTTGAAGTACGTAAATTCGTGTCTGAAAGTAAGTACACAAGAGCAGTAAAGTAAATCGTTTAATACCTTTTATTTTCCATTTAATTTATACATACTCTACATACAATACCATATATTCTTCAACACTACATACGGTTTTCTTGCAAAACTAACGTGACCAACGTTAGTAGCACCAACACCTGACTGACACGCATAGCCCGTATAAGATCATTTATGTAAATACCACAAGTGACTTCCTACTTCAAGGAGACAGTATTTCATATCGCAGTGTATCACGTTTTTAAGTAATTAGTGAAAAGTTGAAAGCCATCCTTCTTATCTTATATCGTTTTTTTCAGTTTATGTTTAATGAACAGTATCAGGGGAATTCAAAATGCCTTAGTAAACCCCACACGTGGGCATGTTATTCTCTAAATATGTCCATAGGTTACCATCAATTCACACATTAACTTCAGCTGGTAGAGGATAAGGTGCTTGTGCAAATGATCCAATAATCCCTCTCCCATATGTTTTTCAAAAAGTTGTCATAGACCTGATTCCCACCAACTCCACCAACTGGCGAAACTGAAGAGATTTAAATGAATCGAAAACTATAGTTATTGCTTCGTAAATGAGGGTAGTTGCATGTGTTGACTGTAAAGGATGCCTTTTGCCCTTATCCACTTTTTCCACTACAAAATAAAACTATACAACAAGGATCTAATGATGTTCGTTGAGGTATCATTGTCACTTTTTGGTGATTTATCTGTCGGAGTTTTCCCGCCACTCATAAAATGGTTAATTAGATTTAATTTAGTTGTTTATTATTTTATCATGTGCCGTTTTTTTTATCAACACCATGTTCACCTCTATTTATTAGAGTTCAACTAAGTCTTTTCAAGTGCTGCATTTTGAAAGGGCTTATAAATATTTATTTTTAATGTTATAATGGTAAGACTCAATACGATTTTCAAGCCAGCATTCTGATAGTTAATTTAAAAACAGTAAAATAAAGGGTTAAAGCTTTTGCCAAGATTGTCAGTAAAAATAATAAAAGTCAGTACTATACACTCCAAGCACCTGAATAGAGTTTTAAACACTTTCTCCTTGAAAGAAACTCTCAAAGGAGTCCTTAACGATTTCATCTGTTTAAGTGAAATCATCTCGATTTTCTAAAGTTTAGGCGTTACTCAAATCGATCTCAAGGGCTTGTGACGTGCTCCTTGCATTGATGGATAGCAAATTCCTGGGACCAGGGTCCTTGTTAGTGATCCCGTTGGCCGAAGTAACGGTTACCGGGGCAACCTGGGATGCGCAACCGAGCATTCGTTTCACTGCACTCTCAAAGTTTGGTAGTCGGAAGGCGTAAAGAAAGGGATTGATGAGAGAATTGATAGTGATGAAAACAAAATGGAAATCTCTCAGCCAGTGAATCAGCTCACAGCTGCATTCCTGGCAAAGATTCATAAAATAGATCATGATGCATGAAGGTATGTAACAGGACAGAAAGATGCCCAGCATGATCAGATAGGTTTTTGTGAGCCTAGTTTCCATCTCTATGGCTCGTTGACGAGCCTTATTCAGCTCTGTTTGACCATCGGTCAAATTGTCGATCTGCGCGATTTGGTTTTTGGCGTATTGAAAAATACGCACATAGGAGAAAATGAAGATAAAGATAGTGCAGAACATTGTAATGTTGGCAAAAACAAAAGCATAAGCCACAAAGCCAACGACAAAGAAAATGGAGGTGGAGCAACAAGAAAGGATCCAAACCAGGGAGGCAGCTAAGGCTACTCGCCCATAACTGGCGTTAGCTCTGTACCACAGAGGCTTTGTTATCGCCAGGTAGCGATCCACAGTAAGTGCTGCAAGACTCAACAAAGACGCCGTGCAAAACAAGAAATAGAGAGATTGAGAGAACCATGACATACTGATGGACAGGCCTTGAGACTCTCTGTAATGCGTGTTAATGGACAACGGCTCTACCAGCGCACCCACGATAAGGTCTGTAACGGCAAGATTTGCCACCAGAAGTGTAAATGGATTTCGCAGATTTTTGTTAGGATCAAGTAGAACTGCCAAGATGACCATCAAGTTTCCTGGAACGGTTGCTATCATGAAAATGATGGCTAACACCATTGTTGTTATGGAAACCTCAGTTGGCGCCCAGACACCGACACAGTGACTCGCTCCAAGCCCCATGGCAAAGGTACTTTAAGCCTTTAATTAACGACATTAATCGCAATGTTAGTTGGAAGTGTTTAGCACTAAGAAACTTTGCAAAACTACTCATAACCATTCAAACAGCCTTAGGTACAAGATCTCTTCAGTTAACATCAATTGTTCAAAGTAAAACGACTTTAAAGTGAAATTTTATTTTAAAATTTTCTCCATGAGCATTTTGATGGTTAGTAGCGTATTACGGAAACAAAAGATTCATTACTGACCTTTGTGTTCAGATTTTGATGATGAAGTGTTGAAGTTTGTGTTACAGAGCTCTTCTAATTTTCCATTTCACTATTTGGGACACTGTAGTTTTGTGATCTGCAAGGCAATGTACTGGAACCTTGTGCAATGTTTACCGACCAAACTGCTACCCTATCAAATTCAAATCATAAAATTCATTGAACTTTTAACTCAGTTACCACTGCGTAAAATTTAAACAGAGAAGTGCATAATGATTTAAAAGGGGTTAATGTGACGTATGAAACACAATAAATCACTTTTTATATGTATCAAATAACAATTCGGTGATGAATGTTCCAGCAAGTTCTGAAACCCTGAATGCGTCTTCTTTGAATTGTTTTCCAAACATTTTCTTTTTTTTTTTTATCATTTCAGCTTGTAGCTACTTCCCTATGTTCTTTTACCACCGTTCCAGCTTGCCAAAATCTTCAAATTCATTCCTACCTTTCGCCAAAGATTCAAGTCTAAGCACTTGAGATAAACAGCAATCGCAATGAATTTCCGCCTTTATCGACACCATTAAAAAGCATTTCGAAAACTGTTGTATTGCTATTACGAACGTGAGCACCAGTGCCATTAACACTTGAAATTAGAAATGCATTGCTGATGGAAAATTGATAATTTCAAGTTAAGCACATTTAACAACAATTAATTGTCTTAAATATTGCTGTAATTCTAGATCTTGAGGTGAAAAATGTCCTAAAAAACTCGTCTCGAGTGACTTTTTTTTCGGGAACAACTATTTGAAAAATGGAGCATTTCTAGACTGTGGTGGTGAGTAGTTGTTTGTTTTACCAGTGGAACTCTTCTGCATTTTGAGCTAAAATGAAGATCCGAAGCGATAAGAAACTTTTTTTCGAAGAAAAACGGAGAGCAACGTAAATATCAGGAGGTTTGACCAAGTTTGCAACCAACTGTGCAGTAAACCTACTCGACATAACAACTATCAAAGGGAGTTTCCAGCTCGTGGTTAGTGTTGAACGAAAAATTAAAGTTGGCTAAAAACATACGAAAAAAATGTTTTTCGTCTTGTCTTGAGCGTGGTATAGAGAAATAATTCCGAGACAGTCCTGAGGAATCGAACCTCAGACTTCAGCTTTCCATGTTCCGACGCTCTACCACTAGGAGACCAAGACTCTAACTTTATTTTCACTTTTAGGTCTAAGTTAGTGGTTCATTTTTTAAGAACCAAAAACACCTTGTAGCCGATCGAATACAATACATTCAATGAGAAGAGTACATCAAGTTTGATATTGCGCCTTTTCGGTCTGAAGTGATTCCAAACTGCAAAAAGTTGAAGTGATTTTTGTGTTGTTCATTTTGGCATTTTCCGATTAAACTGTGTTTTAGAGTCTCAGGGAGAAAAGTGCACTTCATATGCTTGTTTCATACGATATATTGTGAACTCATTCTGGCAGAAAGTGTTTTTTGTCCTCTTAAACCTCAGTTTTAAAATAATTCTCCTTCGACCGATATGAGGAATTTTACCAAGTTGATTTTGCTAATACCTGCCTTTTGTTGAGTCTTATATTTCAAATGATTTTACAATTCTTCCTTTTTGAACATCAAAAATCTTGGTGGAGCGTGTCAGCCCAGGATTGCTAAACTATGGACCAGTTAACGATTTATGAATGGAGGTAGTTAGCGTGGTTTTTTTTTTTTTTTTCGTGGTAACAACAACTTTGTTATCAAGACTTTTCATCAACTTACCTTGGTTCTGACTTCGTTTCCTCGTCCAGCAGATAGACTTGGAATTGCTACTTTTCGCCTCGTTTCCACAGGATTTAAGGATTTCCTTTGAATCAGGTAAGAACCAATGACTGTTTTGTTTGATTCCCTTTGCTTTGGCGACCAAGTAAACTGACTTTAGTTGCATAATGAAGTAAACTTGAATAAAAATATTTTGCATCTTCTTAAGGAAGTATTCTATCCGCAATTTTGTACTTAATGAGTTCTTTAGATGAGTGGATAAATAGTAAGGAACTAGTAAACAAATGGAAAAGATTACCAAATTTATCTTTGGCACCTTTCTATCTAAGTCTTCCATCAATTCAATGCCGCGAAAAGTTTAACGTTGGAAAGTAAATTGTGTGTATTGTTCGGGTGAATAATCTCAATCGTGATCTTAAAATTTGTCTCTCGGTTTCGTTTCCCGTGGAAGCTTTTTTTTCGGTAGCACAGACTGTAAGCGGGCAGTTCTGAACCTTTCGTCACCTTATCACGAAATTCAAAGAGCCCAAATTAGTGATTAATGATCAGCTGTTTTGCAAAAATGCACACAAGGTGGAAGGATCAAACTTGAGAGGCTGTCCATATGAAAACCAACCAATCAAATTTAGGCTGACCACGGCATTCATTCTGACCCTTAAAGTCAATTAATTGGTCTGTTTTCCTCCTAAAACTCTTGTTTATTTCCCTGTTTACTTAGCCCTGTTTATTTAGCCCTGTTTATTTAGCCCTGTTTATTTAGCCCTGTTTATCTAGCCCGCATAGTTATTTCATAAATTTTTGACAAAGATGTTTAAAGACTCCTATACAAAGAAAGCTGAATTGAGGCAATACTAAAAAAGTTCTCATATGTTGCTATTTTGCATTTTTTTTCTTCTACTTTTAAGTGGAAGAAAAAATAAAGCATTAGAATAATAAAATATCGTAAATTTGAGTCGTAAATGGAAATAAACCCGTTTTAAAGACACTACAAAACAGTTATTTACAAATATGAGCTGGTGTGGTTTTTTTCTAAGAGCTAGTACTGTTTCTCAGTCTCTCAGGCCAACAAAAAGAAATGCGAAAAAATTCAGATCGATTCAGCACTGCTCGTTGCGGATAATAAAATTTTAAAAATCTCATTAAGAGGTATTTCCACTAGGGTGTTAGATATTTTTGCTATTAATCTATGGGAGAAATTTGAAATGACCATAGACGTCTGTTGCGGTTTCTACAAAAATGAAGCAATTAGTTTCCCTGTTGTTTCATTTCATACTTTTTTCTATACAATTTTGCCAATGCATACCGCCAAGGCAGATGGTAAAATATGACACGAATAATTATCATGCCCCTTTAACTACAAGTTAGGTAACAATAATTAAAGTCTTGCAACTACCTCAACAGGCCAGATTGAAATTATATACATTCTGGATGGGTAGCTGAAGAAACCGGATTTTTAGGTTTGGTTTAAGTTTCCGTATGAATGGCATCATGGAGCTACGATAACAACCTCTAATGTAATGCTTTTAAATGTAGTTTTTAGTCCATAACAAACAAGAATACTGACGCCTTTACCTCATTCTTCGTGTGCATGAGGAAAAGGATCTGGGTTCAGTTGTTTCGAACCAGAATACTTGGGACACTCATTTGCACCTTATCATAGCAAAAGATAACAAACGTCTCGATCCGCTGAAGAGATCATGTTGGGACATGTTGTCTACTAAAGTAGGAGTGAGGAGGTCTCTATATTTAGTAATTGTGAAATCTTACCTTTGTTGCGATATCCGGTGGAGTCTGGTCCCCTGCTCAGAGGTCAGTAAAACTTACCATTGAATAAGTTCAGAGCGGGCAAACTACCAGCGGATTTTGAGTTCAAAGCCTGGCCAAAAGTCGAGATTGGTTGCTTTGGATATGCCGCCTCTTGTTTACGATAGATATATCACGGGTCTTGTTAACGTTTCCTTTTATTGAGGCCATTTATGGTCAATTGATATTGACATCATGAGCAATTATTAACAATCATTAACAGTCATTCATGACTGAACGTACCTCGGCCAGTCTGCTGGCTGACTAGCAGTTTTCAAGCGTCCATTTAGTTCTTCCTAGAAGCTTAATCTTCCCAGGTTTATTAAATCAACCATTTTGAAGAATACATTTACGTGTAAGTTTATTTAATGTCAGTTTATGTAGACCTGGTCTGTTCGTGCACTATCCCACTGGCGATCTCCCTTGGGAATGTCCATGTCACCATTTTTAGATTAACTTCCAGATTTGTACATTTATATATTTTCAACGCCTCGCAAGAGTCTGAGTTTGGCTTTCGGTAGGTACTCAGTTATTTTTCTTTTTCGTTTTATCCGGTTGGTACTATTTTTTCAATTACTCATTCTTTCTTCATATAGTGTGTATGGCATAATAAAGTAAGTCTTTAGATCATTAACTGGGCAATCATATTTGCTATTAGGTTTCCAAAGCTTGTGGAGATGATTTTCAAGCTCGCTGTGGTATCTAACCAGTTTGTATTGGAGTTGGTGATCTTTGAAGATTAAAATTTTTAAGGAAAACTTTCTTTTTTTGTCTATTAATACACCCGTGTCAGTGTCCTGGCGTCAGACCGCATATCCTACATCAAACTGATTACATCATCTTGACCTTTAAAGGTACTTCCTCCTTTCTTCGTGAAGCAAAATCAATTAGTGTTTAAAATACCCATGGTTTGTTACGTCGATTGTGTAAACCACTTACGCCTATTGCGAGAAGACTAAGAATGGTGCATCATTTGCGGAAAGATGAAAAGGATAGAGACATGTGAGCGTATCAGGAAGAGAACCTTCCATAATCAAACGAACATCACAATACGTTTCAAATGGGGTAGTCAACTGCTTGAATACAAGATTAAAAGAACCTGTCTACTAAACGTGAAAAAAAGTTTTGGATCATGATTTTCGTATGATGAATTTGGTAACTTTAACTCAAACGAGTGCGAAAGCTATTAACACTTCTTATTTAAGGCGCACGATTGGAGTGTG